TACAGCATATGTCTTGCTTTGATACACAGAAACCCATGAGATCTATATTTTAAAGTCATGCAATTTACATGGAAGCTAATCTGATGGTGGCGGGTCTGTAGAAGCCATCCCAAGGATAGGATGGGCTCAAAAACCTTTCAAAAATTTATTGGTAATAATATGACTCGAGAATGCCACAAAATATGCGCTACATGTAATATTAAGGAGTGTTTCTGCTCATTCAGTGAATTCATGGGGCCTGGGAAGCGCTGAGTCAGCGGGCGCTTGCTCCAGGGCCGGGGGATTTAAGCTCGCCCCCATCTCCGACCAGAACTCTGAACGTGTCTTAGTTTAATTTTATTGTGTATATTATAAAGTCTTTAGTTGTATATACTGTGCCTAAGTTGGCAGTGCAGCACTTTAGACTCTGCACAGCGCTGTGAGATGCGAACTTAGAACTTAGTGCATTGTAGGCGAGTGTGATCCCAGCTTATGTAATGCTGAGACTGATCCACCGTGCCATTACTCTTAGGCCGATTCATCAACCGCCAATAACACCACTACTCTCACAATGACCACCCGAAAACTTTCTGATGTTACCTTGGAAGATGCCATCATCCAGATTGGGGAAGCTTTAAGTCTTGAGCAAGGCTGGTTTGACAAGTTGCAGAAGACGGATAGCGATGCTTTGTTGCGTCTTGTCTCAAGAATCTGTGCTAATCACAACTGGACTGCCAGGGACATCAAGCGAGGTTGCATTGATCCCCCGTCTTTTAGCAGCGCCAGCTATGAACACCTTCAATCAAAGATCCCTACCCTTCCAAAAGATCCTATAGATATTCCGATAATCCAGGAACCCATTTACAAACTTCCAATTGCTGTACATGTCAGCCTTTATGAGGTGGCTTGGAAAGCTCGCAATGTCTATGGGGAGATCACAGAGAGTATTAACAATGAAGCAAGAAATGTTCGAATATTTGAAGCTGTATGTATCTTCATTTGTTCTCACATCTTACCGCTAAACAATCAAATGATGCTTAGTATCTTGTCCCAATTGTCAACCTTTTTGAAGGCAGAATCATTAACAAGCCAGAAGCTGGGATGAAAGAAACCGAAATTTCATCCGGAGGTGCTGTTGAGCATGAGGTGCACACTACTTATCTACTTATCTACTTGTGTTTGCTCATCCAACCTACCATAGCTCTATGTGATAGGAGGGATACTCCTTATTCTAATTGAATTGAAAAAAGATTGGATGACGGATGATAACGTAGCACAGATACTTACCGAGATATTATGTGAGTCCTATTCTTCTGCATGCACCCTATTGGCTGCCCTCGTCAAGAGTCAGATATCTGATGATGATCTTTGACATGTAGCTGCTGCTAAGAACAATGATCAGATATTTGAATTTAAAAACCTTCCGGTTTACGGCATCCTGACCAACCTAGATGTTTTCAAGTTTTACTGCTTCCACCCCTCGACACAAACATTTTCCCAGGACATTTCAATGATGTCAGGCTTACGGAGGCGGGATTTCCTCAGAGAAATGATCCCAAGTGTGCTTCTATTCCTCATCTTTGTGTGCTTATACACTGATTTGACTTGTAGTTACAAACAAAATCTTCAGTATTATATTCACAGCTTACATTGAAGCTCTCGTATGCACCGAAAGATCAAGCACTCGCAGGGGTAAAGAGGGTGATGTGTGTCTTATGTGTCATAAGCTTCAGGTTTACTTTACTCACTCACTCTTGGATCAGTTCAAAGAACCGGGCTCCGCTATGATAGACCAGTATTACGCAGTCAGACATCCTGATGTAAGCCATCTTCCATTGTTGTCTGTGCAAAGTTCAGAGGATTTAATAAACAGCTGCAGGGTCCTGATGGGCCAGATCCAGGTTGTGTTGCCTTAGACTCCACAAGGGCATCACGCGACTCCACTTCAAAATGGGAGCAAGCTCTCCAACATGCACTACAAGCCCGTGCTCTGTTTGAAGAGCACTGCATAACTGCTGAAGAATGTGATAGCAAGTCAATTGAAGCAACCAAACTTTTACGACAGAGGTGATATAGTAGGCCTTTTTATTGCTGCTTGTGCTCATGTATTGCAAATGATAGTGTTCTAATGGTGCCAAGACGTGTCAGGTTTGAAGAAAACTATGATTTAGATGAAGAGACATTGAAGAGAGAAGCATTGGAGGTGGTTCTAGACATGTATAGTAAAAGTCGAAGCTAGGCTCAAGGTGTGGTAGTTTTGTCTCCTTCAATTAGAGCTGTGTTGAGGGATATCATTTTATGAGTATGTACCTCCAATCGATTTCTAAACAATGACAACGTCTGCGAGATGCTTGCTTCCAGTGTGAGGCTACGCTTGTCAACCAATCACAGCTGTGCAGCCCCCACAACACCCCACAGACATTATATCGGCGCCCAAAACAGCACATCCTCGCTGCCCACCCCGCCGCCGCACGGCATGCCATGAATCTATCTCAGGCAGGGTCAATCGTAAGTGCAACTTGTCCTTCAATTATTTAATTTTATTTAAACATAATCCACGAGTTTAAGCGCCCATTTTACCCGTTTATCATCTGAGAAAATACCTTATGCTATCAAACGGTATCAGGTTCGTCATCAACTGGCACATTTACTTCGGCTATAAATGACCTAACACTTGCACAGATACGCAGGACGAGAGTAAACGGTTATATTCCGTCTTAGACAAGCGTCTCGAAGGGCGAGAATGGCTGGTCGGACCTCATTATAGTATTGCCGACGTCAAAGCATAGTACGTCTATCTCCAAATCTCTTGGAATATCTGACCTGATCTCTTCGTCTGTATAGCCCTTGGTAAATTTTCCATAAATTTATTATATCGCAGTATAAGACCTACATTGGATTCAGGATCGTTGCAAGCGCTTGGACCGGGCCTGGTCACACGGAATTTCCCAATATCGTTGTGAGTTTCGTATCTCCCTGCCAGGGGACACAATCTAATCTCATATGGGACTGGCAGGCATGGGTAGATCGGATAAAAGAACGTCCTCTGACTGTTAAAGGACAGGGTGTGCCCACTCGCACCGATTATGAAGAGTGAGCCTAAAATTGCGTTGAAATGATGTGACATTATTAACAAGATATTTTTATTTATCTCACTGGCAGCCAGGTGAAGAATGCGGAGAAGGTGGGCGCGAGTATGGCCAAGGCATTTGGGTTTACTAGCACTGGCAAAAGTGGGAAAGAATGAATGCGAGAATGATAATAATGCAAATCTTATGTGCTAATAGATAAAGACATGACATAACTACTTATTATAAATCACAAAAAAAAAAGCGCAAAAATGAAAAAAAAAAAAAAAAAACTCTAACCATGTGTGGGGATCAAACCCACAGTCTTCTCCTAAGCCATTGGCTTTAACCCATAATAGGAAGGAGACACCTTCACCATTGGGCCAACACGACAGTGAAAGCTAAGTGAACCTTACTTTATAGGTGCTGTACCATCCAACGCTGACACAGCTGGAAGTTTTCAGGGGTCATTATACATAAAAGAAGAACAAGGAATGGAACCAGGTGAGATAAAAGAAGGGACGCATATGGTTTAGAGACACTTTACACGAGTGACTGTTGGTTAAGTGGAGTTGATGCTGGTTAAATTGCAATTAATATTGTATGGATGTCGATCACCGTAAAGCGCGCCCTATTACCTAACACTGGGATGGTAAACCGTCAAATCCCCCACCGCCTCTGAGGAACAAGGAGCGGGAGGGACTACTAATGACAGCTGATTCACAAGAATCGCACCAACAGCTGTCAGCTCAAATTCTTCGGAAAATTTCCAGTGATTTTGAACTAAACATATTTGTCTTCGGCTCTAAGTGGGCATCGACCCGTTGGATAACGTTGATTTATACAGCAAAGTACCCACCACTATCCTGCTAAAGGAAGACCAACACTTTGGAACCGATTCTCAACCGGTTGCAAAGGACATGATTTACTTTGGAACAATTTGGTTGGATAAAGAAGGAGAAGAACATTGCTGCTCTGAAGATCTATATGAGAAGCAAGGTAAACATGCGGAAAGTCTCAACCTTCCAAAGTCAGAAATTGTCAGAAATTGGCCCGTAGTTAGGAGAATTGTGACATGGAATGAGGAAGGGATCTGGAGAAGAGAAAGCGGCTCGTTAAAGCATACACTAGTAATAGAGGGGGAACACAAAAGTTACGATCAGGCAGGATTTGAACCTGCAGCCTACACCTATGAATAATTTGGTTCGGGGCTCAACCCTTGAAGTAATCAAATTAAATCAACCTTCGACGCTATTATCAGCTATTGTAATTACAAGAACCATGTGTCCTCCTATTTATTTTTTATCAATGGCTCAAAAAAACTGGCTAAGATACTAGGTGGTAATTTAGCCTTGATTCTGTAGTTGGCTTCCAGCTCAAAATCCAGGGCAATCTCTTTCTCCAAACGAGCCATTGGTTTCTGTAGGGCAGGGTAATGCTTCAAAAGATACTCAGCTCGTTGTCTTGATACAGTCCTTGCCTCATAAACAGCTCGAGGAAAGTCATAAGGGGCTGAATCCTTCATCTGAGCAGGTTCAAATGCGACAGCATGGACAGTCATTGCAAGCAGTGCAGCCATATTAAGAGGATCTGGCCATCCTTTCACCATGTTTTCAAATACTGCAGTATCCATGGATTCTATTTCAGAAAATTAGTATATGGGCTATCTGAACTCAGAAGCATTCCATACCTGGCTCTTGCTCATCCAATATGAATTCCCCAAACTTGGAGTCAAATTCAGTGTAGTAGGCTGCAAGTATTCCATGGAGAATGTTCTCAGCCATCACATGAGATGTATTTGTCTCCATGTCCTCAAGACGGCACTCCTGGAGACCAATTAGGAAGGATTTGTAGAAGCAGGGTTTGAGGTAGTAATGCCCACCCTCTGCCAGACACTGTGTTACACTCAACACCCAGTGTAGGGTTCCTGGTGGCATATTCCTTATAAAATAGCAACTATAATGAGAAGTAGCCAAATTATCCCAGAATTAATGACTCACAAAACTGAGGAATCACTTTCGCTTGGACTTTTCAGGGACAACAATGGGAGCAGACAAAGAGCCTGTAGCCCTAGGGTCTGGCAGAGCAAACTTCACAGGGATAGTTGGGCAGGGAGGGAGTTGGAAGAGGTTTTTGTTGATATTGCAAGACATTTAAATCCACAAAAAAAAAAGCTTGATGGCTTGGAGAATTTGAAAATGGGTTTTAGCAAGGAGAGTGGGCAACAGACAGGAGCCATGTGTTTCAGAGGAAGGAAGCAGGCAGAACAATGGGGATATTGAAATAGAAGGATATGATATCAGAAATTTAGCTGGCAATGGCTTAAGGTATGGTAGAGGTCAACCGCCTGAGGTCAAGAGCCTGAATGTCACAAATGTGTCACGGTAGGATCCTCGAGGATCCTACCGTGACACGTCCGTGACGCGTGATATTCGTCAATGAATGGCTCAGTTAAATGTTTGGCTTGTGTTTAGAGAAATTTCCTTGAACGTGCTCAGAACTAAAATACAGAGTGGATTTTGAAGTTTCTAGAATAAAAGGATGAGGCGAAAAAAATCAATAAATAAATAAATATTGCGACCCGGAGGTCATCTACTCTGGAGAAGCGCGTTCTGTAAGTACATTATATTAGCGATAGGAAGAAAGACATGAAGGCGGACATACTATGGGTGATTGGACAATTGGTGAGTAAAAGTGGGACAGCTGAGGACAGTGCCGAATTACGATGCGAGCGGGTAGAGTTGCGGGGTGTTGGTTGAGTAGGCAGCGGCAATGGCAGCCAGGAAGGGAGGAGGGATATTGCATGAGCTCGTGGATGCTGCGCGGAGATAACGCGGTGTTATTACAGTTCGAAGTCGACGCGTCAAAGTGGAGACGTACATATCCGAGTGCCAAGAACGATGATGTTGACGCATGACTGCGGAAGGCCGTGGTCAGAGGTCTTGTCGGTGCATTGACAGTTGGCAGTCGTATATGGGCAATCGGCCGTGAAGCGGAACTGAAGCTTTCAATCCGAAGAATATGGAGCAGATATAGTGAGAACAATCATAGATTAAGAGCGTTGGGAGATGCGACCCAAGCAAGCGCACAGGTGGGCTATGGAGATCGGTGGTCATGTCTGACTCTTCCTATCCCAGAGCAAAGAAAACGGTCACACACAATGCCACTAAAATGCCAGTTGCGACAAAGAGCGTGTCAAAATCGCTAATCAGGCAGATGAAAGAGATCCGCACCACAAAGAGTGCACCCATAATAGCCACACACACTGCACTCTACCTCACGGAGAGTGCTTATACCTTATACAATCACTAGAAAAAGAGAGGGAGAATGGGAAGAAAAAGCCACTTATCTGCCCTCCGTGTGTGGCTAGGCAATTCCACTGGTGCTAGAAAAAAGAGGGGGAGAATGGAAAGAAAAAGCCGCTCATCTGCCCCCATGTGTGGCTGGGTGCGAGTGCAGAGAAAAAGAAAGAAAACCCCACTCATCTGCCCTCCGTGTGTGGCTAGGCGATTCCACGGGTGCCAGAAAAAGAAAGGGAGAAAAAGAAAGAAAAAGCCGCTCATCTACCCGTGTGTGGCTAGGCGATTCCGCGGGTGCCAGAAAAAGAGAGAGAGAAAAAGAAAGAAAAAGCCGCTCATCTGCCCTTCGTGTGTGGCTAGGCGATTCCGTGGGTGCTAGAAAAAGAAAGGGAGAAAAAGAAAGAAAAAGCCGCTCATCTGCCCTCCGTGTGTGGCTAGGCAATTGCGCAGGTACTAGAAAAAGAGAGGGAGAATGGAAAGAAAAGGCTGTCATCTGCCCTCCGTGTGTGGCTAGGCAATTCTGTGGGTGTAGAGAAAAAGAAATAAGAAAGAAGAAAGAAAGAAGAAGAAAAAAAAGGGGAGGTCGGGCGAGTCTGTGCAGACAGGACAAGCAGCTTTCACACCTTAGATGCGGAAGTTCCCTTCGGGAGATCCTGAGCATGGAGACCAGACGGCCTTGCGGGCATATGAAATAGAAAGCCCACCGGGCATAGTTGGCTTTTTATGGAGAGGACGGGGTGCGATCGAGAAAAAAGAGACTCAGACAGAGTCGATCTCTCCTAGCGGTCCATCTGCGATCCTCCTCAGCCTCGAATATCATTGTGCGGAGGAGGTACTGCAGATCATCTCCAGCTACGACAATATCCTGGATGGTTAAGCGATGGCGAAGTCTCGCAACGACAATGATACGCACTGCCGTAATTTCGCGTTCGCGTTCGAGCTCTGCATCCTTAACAACTCGGACTCTGTGCGGTTTGGAAGATATTGGGTGGCAGGAGAGTGTCCGTCCTCAATTCTTCAGCTTGCAGGTCGATCGAACGGCGCATCAGCAAAAGCGCGTGAGACCGGTATGACATTGTGATGGCTGGTCACACTTGCCAAGTCATTGCACGCTGGCACCACATGCCAATCCATCGTAATCGCTCGCCATCCACCACAATCGAGGTAGCGGATCACGAATTGGTGCAATCTTTGGGGCTGATTGCAATCGTTAGTGCACGGAGGCGCAATCCCCGACTCCGGGTTGAGGAGTTTAGACACGGTCTTTTTACTGTCTTAACTACGTTTCTTATATGTTGTTCTATAGCCACCTCATTCCTGTAAATTCCGGATCGATTCTTCAGCAGAATGGAATATCTCGCTATTTTCCCTGTATTTTATAGCATGTACTTCAAAATTTAAGAGATTGAAAAGGATTTATTCAGAACACTCCTAAATAGCATATACACAGAAATTTCTATTTACGGAGCGTGAGCTGACAGCCGCAGCTTGGAGTTCCCACGGGGAGCCATTGTGAACAGCTGTGGGTCATTTTCACGTACGGGCGCTTCCCTAAGGAATTTGAGGTCCTGTTCGTAAAATGGTCTTTCGAGGTCGACCAATAAGATGTTAAGCCATAAGGTCTGGTGGAGCAATGGTAGCTCGTCACTTTATGACGGCGGCGTGCCATTGTAGACGGCTATGGACAGTTCTCGCGGCACAACGGCGA